GACAATAGTGTTTTGTATTATATTATACTGTACCGTAATTTTATATTTTGGTGTAAATAGCGGTGATTTGGTGAGTACTTACCTATTATTTATTTAAATAATTAAGATTGTAGTTGTAAGCGTATATTCAATTAAAGTTTTAACTCTTTGAGGAGCAGAGACTACCTATAAAGGTAAATAATATAAAGGCAGTAAATGATACAATAAGATTTTTAAGTTTTTTTTTTTTTTGTAAAAACTGTTTCTTATTAACTACCTAAAGTCAAAACTACTAAAAAAGTTATTTTAAATTTATGAATTTTCCAGGATCCACTCCCGTATAATCAACCAAATTTGATATTTTTTTTTTTATATTAATAGAGAAAAACATTCTACAGGCCTCATTGATATATATTCCCAATATTTATAATGAATCTTTAAAAAAAATTTAAAATTTAAAAACTTAAAAGTAAATTTTAAGATTTTTTTCATTTGAAATTGGAATTACAAAATCGGAGTTCAATGCGGCCTGTAAAATGTTGTTGTTTATCAGTTTAAAAAAAAAAAAATTGTAAAAATATTGAATTTACAATGAGTGATCACTTTTCCTGTAAGGTAATATTTTTGTTCTAAAAACGGCCAACTAAATATTTCGTTATTAGTTTGTCAGTGACATCTGCATGCGCGTACGTTCACGTTGTTCGTAGACCCCACCCAATTATTCATTTAATCATCATAAGTGATACCTCGCAACCCGCGGGCCACGGTACATCGTATTCCGCGTATTGATATCCAATACGAGTATAAAAATAAATAATGTAGTATTTTATTTTCAATTATCATTCCGCGACGCGACGTTTTCGGATCGTAGGCACGTGTGTACATAGGACTACGATTGTTTTGATTAATCGATTTTTTCACCTAGTAGGTATTCACAGCATTAATCGGTTAACCGATCAGAATCGTAATCAATGTAACCAAAAATTATTCGATTTCATACTTAAACGGCTAAACATAATAATATGAAAAAAAGAACCGGACGGGGACTCGCTCTGAACGGAGATGATTTGTTCGTCTAGAACAGGGGTGAGCAACTAGTCTATTTTGTCATAGAATTAGTTATAGTAATTTATTACTTTTTATTAATATATAAAAATATTATACATTAACATAAAATATTTAAATTAGATAAAAACTTAAAAAAAGTAAAATTTAACCTTTTTTTTACCAATATTTTTTTCACTATTTAAAATAATAATTAAAAAAATCGGAGTTCAATGCGACTTGTATAATGTTGTTTTTAATTAATTACAAATTTTTTTTTATAAAAATATTAAATTTACAATGAGTAATCACTATTTCCGTGAAGTAATATTTTCGTCCGTATAATAACTGTCATTGATAAAATCATGTAATAATGCAACATTCTCGATAGACCCCAAGACTGAACAAAAATAAACAATATTTAGGAAAGAAAGAAAAGCACACGCACTCGATAATAATAATATTGAATACTGTCATTAGACAATTATTATTAAGGATGGGCCGATACCACTTTTTTTTCGATACCCTATATACCGATATATGCAACCGATATAAAACCGATACTTGATATTATAATCACATGTAAAAAATAAGTTGATTTTTAATATATTACATAAAAAATCAACTTTTTTGACAAAAACCATGAACCGATACTAAAATTAATCCGATACCACAAACCGATTAAACCGATATTACATAATATTAGCATTAAATAATTTTACTGTGGCCCACCACAGTACTATCGATATTTAGTGATCAAAATATTGTTATTATTGGTATTAATATATTTTATGCTGGTGGTTCTTTTTTTTTTTGCGGTATCGGTTCAAATATCGGTTTTGAAAATATACCGATTCCGATATTTCCGATATTATCTACTAAAAGTTTTAAATTAGCTTAATTTTATGTATTAGTTAGTAATAAACATTAGTATTTGCATATATTTATATTCTTGTGATTTGTGGTCAATATTTTTTTTATTACTTTAATAATTTTAATGTATTCTATTGTTACATTTGGTTCGTTAAACTATAGTAGAGTTGGTAATAAACCGTTGAATATCCTACTATTCTATTGATTTGTTGCAGATAAATTATCTATTTACATTTATCATGAAGAAATTGGTTCCTCTCAGTAGTCGAAAAAAAAGAAGGAAAATGAAAGAAGAGTTAGACTATTTCAATCCCACCTACAATCATGATATTTCTGAAAATTTACTTTCGGAATCTTATCTACTTAATGAAATACCAAATTCTAATACAAATTCTCTCAACTGTCAGAATAATGTTTCATTTACAACAGAACATAGACTTCAGGAAGAATTAAATAATGAATCGCAAAATTTTAATTTCTCAAACTACAAAATTGATTTTCCCCCCCATAGACATATCTGACACTGATGATTCTGATTCTGACTTATTATCTAGTACATCATTTTTGATAAATAATGAATTAACTCAATGGGCAATACATTACAAAATTTCTCATATTGCCTTAGATAATCTTTTAAGTATTCTTCGTCAACATAAATGTTTTATTACATTACCCAAAAGCGCCAAGACATTATTAAAAACCAAACCCATTTCAATAGAAAATATGCGGGTCGTTGATCCTGGAAAATACTACCACTTTGGTCTCAAAAATGGAATTGTTCGTTATTTACCATATAATAATTGTGTTTTAGAGCAAGAATTAAAAATTGTTATTGGTATTGATGGACTTCCCATTCATAAAAGCACTTCTTTAGAGTTTTGGCCAATTTTGGCTTACATACGACCAAAATCTGATCTTGTTTTTCCTGTGGGACTGTACTGTGGAAACCAAAAACCTTCAGACAGCAATGACTACTTAAAAGATTTTGTTGATGAAGCAAAATATTTAATATTGAATGGTTTTGAACTGGAAAATAAATCTTACAAAGTTAAAATTGATGTAATCTGTTGTGATATGCCGGCAAGATCATTTGTTTTAAAAATTAAATCTCATACTGGATATAATTCATGCCCACGTTGTGAAATTGAAGGAGACCGTAAAGAAAATAGGACAGTTTTTCCTTATTGTGAACTGGACAAACGACCACCAATTAGGACACATAATGGCTATACAGACAAATTAACAAATGATCATCATTTACCTAATACTGATATTTCTATACTTATTGAATTACCTATGTTTGATATTATCAACGACTTTTCTTTAGATTATATGCATATGTTATGTCTTGGAGTGACCAAAAAACTGCTTTTTTTATGGATGAATGGTCCGTTAAATGTCCGCTTGCCTTCATGGAAAATTAAAGAGTTATCAGATTTAGCTATAAACTTAAAGTCAGACTTTCCTTGTGATTTCTCAAGAAAACCAAGAAAATTAGAAGAAGTAGCTCGATTTAAAGCAACGGAATTTAGAGCAATTTTAATATATTATGGTTTTGTTATTTTAAAAGATATTATAGCTGATGATTGTTACAAAAATTTTAAGGCTCTTAGCATAGCAATGACAATACTTCTAAGCCCACAATATGTTTCATTAAAACAATATGCTCGTGATTTATTAGAATATTTTGTCAAGTCCTTTGAACAAATATATGGCCAAATGTACATGGCACCAAATATTCATGGCTTACTTCATTTGGTAGATGATTATGATAGATTCGGATCTCTCGATAATTGTTGTACATTTTCGTTTAAGAATTACATGAAAGTACTAAAGAGTATGATTAGAAAGCCTGATAAACCATTGGAGCAGGTTATAATACGATATAATGAGGGAGAAAAATCAACCAGCAATTTAAAAAAAAAATGTGATAGTATGAAGAATAGTGAAGGCTTATTAATAGGGCAACATAATAAGGGGCCTTTGATAAATAACTTAGTGACAAATCCACAGTTTAGTACATTAATTTTGGGAAATTACAAATTAAAAACCAATGTGGATGCAGATTCATATTTTTGTATAAATAATAATGAAATTGTTAAACTAATTAATATTGGACATTCAACAAACACTGGAAATATAGTTTTGATTGGCAGAGAATTTAGGGAAAAAAACAGATTTTTATGTTCAGCCTATTAAATCATCACATCTAGGAATTTTTTCTGTTAAACATTTGTCTAAAAATTTAAAGTGCTGGAATGTTAAAGATGTTAAAAAAAAAAGTTATGATTTTATCTTACAAAATGAACAGGTTGTTGTATCCCTTTTACATGGCATTTAGAAAATTTGTAATACAATTTTTCATTTTTTTTTTTTTTTAACATGTAAATATATGTAATGTAATCATTATTAATTGTATTGATAAACTTAATAGATTTTTTTTTAAATTTAAATTTTATAATTATCTGTATAAATAAATTAGGTCGTATATTATTAGTAGCTAAATGTAAATTAAGACAATATAAATATGAAGATAGGAAACACGAATTGTATGATCTTTGCTTAGTCATTTAAAATATAGATACCTATATTATTAAATGTTCCCTATTATATACTATAAAGTATTAAATGAATAACTTATAAATTATGTAGTTCATTTTAATAATAACACATTTTTCTAGAGTTGATGTAAATATGTGGTCAATAGTGTTATTTGAAACTGAAAATACTATTGAAGTCGTTCCAGCACACTGGGTTAAAAGTAATACTTGTGCCTGGCCCAAAAAAGATGTAAAAAAAAATATTGAACGTAGAGTATTAGCCAACAAATTTGAATTCAATTATTTTGCCTCGAGAACATTAAAGAAAAATATTGGTAAATTGACTATTATTATTTTTTACTAAATCTATTATAATTTATTATTTGTAATACTTAAAGGTATACTGATTAATTTAATTACTGTCATTAAAATAAAATAAAAATTCATTATTTATAAATATATATTATAATTTCTAATTTAAATTAATATTTTTTAGCTACTCTAGCAGAAGCTAGAGCGAAGTTGAAGAAGGCTGAGAATACTTCAGATTTATCTACTTGTGATGATGAGATTTCAAAATCTCGTGCAAAAAAATCGAAAATATTTGATCCTCCAATTTTTTCCTTAGACAAAAGTTTTATTTTATTTGTTAGTTAAAGTATAATTATATTATGCTTTAAATTAGAGCATGGGATATTCTTATTATAAAATTAATACATTCATTTGTTACACTTAAAACCTAAAATAAAATTATAATTGTATTGAAAGCTTATTTATTTACACAATTCATGAAAATTTTGAATATTATGAATTATTATAATCATTTTATACATTTACAGATATTATACCAAAATCTAATGATATAATGAATGAAACTATATTAAATAGTTACAGTTTAAGTTGCGTAACATCTAAAGAAAAGAAAAACTCAAATAGTATTGATTGTTCATCTTTTAGTAATTTAGGTATATATTAATTTAAAACTATATGTTGATGTACATATACATTGTTATTATAAATGTTATAGATGTTGAAAGCAAGCAAGATCATAACATTAAATACAAATCAAATAATCAAAATTACAGTTTACCTTTAAAAGCAAAAAGAAAACTTTTTGATAGAAACTCATTTAGTCCTATTGCAGGTACTTAAATTTTAGAAAATTCAAATATGACAATTTTACGTAAAAAACGATTTATTTTAGTTTAAATCTATGAAATTATTTATTTAAATATTGTGTATATCTTTATATTTATAGCATTTCCACAAGAGCATAATATTTATACTTCAAGTAAATATGATCATGATTATAATATAAATAAATCTCCCATGTCAGTTATTTCTACCAAAGGTAAATAAAGTTAAAATTATAGTTTATTTAATTCACATCTACAATATTCAAAAGATAAATTTCTATTAATAATTATTTAAATTTTGAATTTTTAGGTTCTATAATCACGCCTGAAAAACATGATTTGTTTAACTTATCTCATAGTGAATCTGAAATATCTAGTCCAAAGATTGGTAAATTTAAATAATTTTTTAAAAAAAAACAGAAATTTTTAATGTAACACATAACAAATAATTATATTTTTATAGTGGAGCATAAAAGAGCCTCAAGCACCAAAATTATCTACACATCGTCATCTCCTTTTAAAGTCTCTGAAGCTACACAAGATACAAGTGATTACCCAAATTGTAAATTGGCCTTAGGTAATAGAACTTGGTTATTAATAAATATTTTTTATTCATTTAAATATAAAACATATAAAAAAAAAACAAAAAAAAATACTCCTAATATTGTATTATTTAAAGTGAAGTTTAAAATTGTTTTTAGATGTCAATTTACAGTCATCTTTTAAAAAGGTGTCTAGTGTTATTCAAAACAAACACAAATTAAGAAATAACTGCTTATCACAAATTTCTGAATCAAATGGTAATATCAATAATAATATAATGGTTTATACTCCAAGTGTATTGACTTCTGTATAATTAAACTTATATTTAATGAGTATATATCATTTTTGCTTCAGACATAATGAATAAAATTTTAAGAGTTGTCTTGAAAATCAAGTATGATGTAGAAACAATTGCTCAAAATCAAATTCAGATGGACAAAACTTTAACTGACACTGTGCTTCAAGCCAAGGATACTGAAAATATTTCTGAAGAACTATTAGAATATGATTCATTACTTCCAATTGAAAGTGAAGAACAATTAGATGAATTTGAGTCAAAGTAGTTAAACAAACATTTTAGAAAAAACATTGTAAGTACTTTTGTATTTTATATAATATTGTAATATAAAATAATCATATATTTTTATAAATTAATATGTAATAATGATATGACTAATATTTATATTCATCATTATTTTATTATGTGTCACATAGGTTAATGGTCTCAAACGTTTAGCAAAGAAGACATTAACAGCAACTATAAGGCAAATGTTAAGAACAATTTTTGAGGATGATATTTTGCAAAAGTACAGTTTTGTTGGACAGAAAAAAAAAAAGATTTTTTCATCTTTAGGTTCATGCTCTATAATTATTGGTAAGAAATATACTTGATAGTTTTTTTTTCCTTTTGTAACCAAATATAAATTTTTTGTTAAATGATTTTATAAATGAAAATTTTTTTAAACAATTATTTGATATAATTTAATTGAATACAATATAATATTTGTACTAGGCTAATATATATATATATATATATATATGTATAAATAGACATATGTTTGTTAATGACTAAATTATTACTATTTATTATTTTATTAATATATAATTATATCTGTTGTTTTCCAAATTAGAAGCTGTAAGAAAAGTTAAGGCATTCGAAAATGCAACAAATGCTGAAATTGAAGCACCAATGAAAGTTTACTTGGCCGGAGCAGCATTTAGAAAAAAAAACTATTATAGTGCACTCGCTAAGAAATTTATAATATTATATTAATTAATAATAAAGACAAGTATTAACATAATTACATGTCAAGTAGTTTTTTTTAATTTTACTACTTACCTAACTTTTGTCCATATATCCATTTATATTATTTTGTGTAGGTATATAATAACTATATGGTATCGAATAGTAGTACATCATAAAAAGTAACTAATATGAATAGGTAATGTATATAATATTATATAATATGTGAATAGTGAATATATATATATATATATATCAATATCACAAATGAATATTAAAAAATATTCATAATTTATTATGTTCCATTATTAGATATAAGTTGTCCTACAACTATCAGCTAATTTGAAAAACGGAAAAGTGGATTAAAAAATAGTTTTTTTAGCTATAAAATAATATATTAAGTATATTTGAATAATATTTTTTAAATCTTAAAAAAATAACGTTTATATTATTATTGTATTATTATATATGTAACGTTATAAAAACAATTAAACCCAGGCCAAAAAATAATACTAAAATATTATTAAAACAATATTTTAAAGAAGTTATAATCAAATTGTAATGATAAAAAAATATTAGTCATTACAAATGTATCTAAATAATAATGTTATTATGTTATAATCTTTCTATCTGGGATTATAATTAAGTAAGGGAAGTAACGGCGTGAGGGGAGGGTTCTGATTTAACTGAACTTAAAATATTTTATTAATTGAAATTATATGACTTAACATTTATTTTGCCCAGGGCCTCGCAAACTCTAGCATAGTTATTGAGTAAGGGTATATATAAAGTGTAATACGTCGCTTTTAAAATACAGATTAGGCATAATAATAAATATTACTACGCATAAAGATGAATAAGAGTGTACCTAGCTATTTATAGGTACATTGATTTTAAAAATTTTTGTTAAACGTGTTTGAATAAGTGTATAATCAGTAACCATTAATCAGCATTTATAATTTATGTTTGCACTTGATGTACGTGCGGGCTCGTCGCGAGTCACTCGTCTCTCCAAGTTGCAATACGTAGTACCATTGATTATAGATAGTATCTATAATAGATAATATAATCTATATATCTATAATCAATGGTAGTACGTACCCTATTGTTGTTATTCTATAAATAAATATATTTCCAGTAACGGGCTCTTATCGTACGGGATAGTCGCACGTCTATCGTCTCTCCAACTCACTATACGTACCCTACCAATGGTTTTTATCTATTATTATATAAATAAATATATTTCAGTAACGGGCTTTTAATTCTTATAAACATTTTGTAGATGTATTTGTAATTCTGGTGCCGCTGTTTGCAGTGTGCCTGTGTCAATTTGTCAAGTCACACTTGAATACTTGATTGTGTTAGCCAATTTGACATCGCCGTCGCTAATATCATTATACTTATTGAAGTGTACAGTGTAGTATGTGCACGTAATATTTTAAAATTCTTAGTTGTCTTTGACACTATAGTATTATACTTATACCAGTATTATAGTTTTGTGTTTCAACTTGATCGAGATCTAAGGTAAGCTATAATATAAAATATTCGTTTTGCATGCTAGCGTGTTACTTAAATATTTTAAATTTTTGTATAACCACTCGAAGATAATAGTGTGCAACTAATTATTATATGTATTTGTATACAAAGCCGTATCTAGAAATTTTTTTCGGGAGGGGTCCAAAACATATATAACTGTATATTATAATTTTATTGGATTTAGATTTTAACTTTTCATATTTGGATAGAAATAAGACGGAAAAAGATTTAACCTTGGTAAATTATACTTAAGTAAAATTCAAATATCCAATATAGTATCATACTAGTGTGACTTGCTCGATATAAAACCATGAGTAATAAGTTATTACAATTCTTTACCATAATCATTATATCAATACGGTATATTGTACCGTGCTGAGTATGACCGCCCATCTTCCACAGTTAGGAGGCCACTTTTAAATCTAAATTCCTGGCCTTAAAATCTGTTTAAAATCAGACTCCTTATAAAACTTATAAAACTAAGTGGTTGTATTACTGTATTAGTTTACATTTGTTGGCTGTAGTTAAATTTAATAAGAGTAATATTTACCTATTTCTAAAATATGTTAAAAACCTAACTTACTGTTCAATTATTGTTTTTCATTACCTACCTAAACTAAAAATTATGCATTTTTTGGGTTCATTTTACTTACCTATTTCTTATTTTTACAGTTTGTTAATTAACTATTAGGTACCTATTTGTAATAACTAATAACTATTTTATTACTGTATTTTTTTGATGTTCAATGATAGTATCTATTCTATATAAATAACAATTAGTTAAAAAATGTTTGAATTCTAAAACCTTAAAATTATAAAATTGTATTATTAATTATTCCTAAAAGCAATGTTATAAAATAGGTTTATAAAAACTATATAGTATTATTTTTATTATTCTGTTTCAAAATGTTCACTTGTAACTTAAATAGTTGAATAAATAATATTATAATATGCATAATGGGATTATATAAGATTATTATTAAAAAGCAGTCATCAAATTGCCTTTCTATATTAAGTATGCAAGCACTTTTTTACCAAAAATCCGCTGTATACCAAAATAGGTATAGTTTTTCCCATATTTTAGTTCATGGGAATAAAAGGAGAATTTCTACAGTTCTGAAAAACCTCGACGTCGATACCAAACGTGTGATGATTTTTTTATATTGAGTGTATTGATTTTACAATAAAAACATAATTATTAACATTACATTTACGACATTTACCTTTCCTTGGTTTATATGAATAAAATTTCATTTATCTATCAAGTTCTGTAGCCATTATAATATAATGTAATGTAAGTTACTAATAATAACGCTATGTCCTAACTGAATCCGTGCGTTGCGTGCGTTGCGTGTATTGCGGGCGATGCGTGCACGCAAATAAAACCAACTGCAACAAAGTACGAACATGTCCTAACTGGCCGTAACATGCGTGCGATGCGTTTTAACGCACCGCACAAAATAGAGCTTGTTCTATTTTCCAACGCAACGTTGTGCGTCAAGACACATTGTCAATTATTTAAATTTATTTTTTTTTGTATTTCAAAAATGGATGTTCTTATTTCCGAAGTACAAAAAAGATCAGTACTTTGGAATAAATGGGAACCAAAATTTAAAGATCGGGTAGTGGCAGACAGGCATTGGGATTCTGTATCCAAAGAACTTGGAATGTCAAGTAAGTTTAAAAGTTTAAAATTGTATACTGAATATACTAGCTAAAGAAATATATTATTATTACAATATTATTATTTATTATATAATATATTAATATTTTATGGAATAATGTAATCAGTAATATAATACAAAAATAAAATAATGATAGTAATAATATAATTAGTTCCTATAAGCAATACAAATTGGACAATTTGGTAGGTTAAAGTTCTATATCGTGGTAATTTATAATTTCCTTAAAATTTAGCGAAAAAATTTTTTTTATAATATACAACAATATTTATCGGTTATTTATTTATTACAATATATTACTTGAATATATTACAACTGAAAATAAAATGTACAACTGCCTGCAACTTCACAACCTCTTGTACGTTGCACGTCTGAATTCATCGACGTCAATTTTGCCAACAAAATGTTGCGTTGCGTGCGTTGCGTTGCGGGCGAACGTATAAACGCAACGCACGGATTCAGTAAGGACAAGGCGTAATACATTACGCCGTGTCCAACGTAAATCCGAATTGCGTCCGGCGCGTCCGTTTTCGCATCGCAATCGACGCACATTATTGCGACAATCGCATGCATGTCCAACGTCAATTTGCGTCCGATGCGTACAATTTAGAAATCTACGAATTAATTTAAAATAATATAAACCTGCCTTCAGTGCTCACAATAATTGTGAACGTGATCGAGAGTAGTTTAAACGAGTGATTTCTATTTGCCTTTTGATCAAAGTTATATATTTTCAATCATGTCTTTTAGTATTCAGCAAAAAATTATACTTGCAGAGAGTATATGTATTAAACACTATTTGTATAAAAAATACATTAAAATTAAATTTGTGTTTTTTAAATTATATATATTAAAATAATTGATAAATAATATAAATTAATGATTATACAACAAGGTGTTTATTTTGTATGCGTTAATATTATGTGAGTTCGTTGATAAACGCAGTGCGTTGCGTTCTTGCGTTTGAAAACAAAATTATTTGTTTTCAAACTAGTGCGTCGAATACGGCTGATGCGTTATCGGTCGTATCGGACGCACTCGCCGTCCAGTTAGGACACGTCGAATCATGTCTACGGTTTTGATTAATATTTTCATCGCATTGACCGCAACGCACTGCGTTAAACGCATTTGACGGATTTACGTTGGACACGGCGTTAGAGTGCAGACTACAGACCCTACGGAGTAATATACGCGTCATACAATTATAAACATATCACAACAAATTGATCAGCGCTTTTCAGTTGAATAAAAATAGAACTGCGATAATACCGATAACTAACGACGATTTTAATTCTATATACATATAACGCCATCTCCTATATGTGAGTGCGGCGTGTGCGTGTGATTTGGATTAAGGGTTTTCCCAGTAATAACTATAATAACCGTTCATGTCGCCTCAACAGTCAACATACTATAAGTTATCATTTTGTAATTCTCTGCCTTATTAGTGCCATTGAAAAGACATAGGTAATGTTAAATTTTTGTCTTGCTCTTCACTTCAATATCTCTTCAACTTCGTATTGTGTTAGTATACCTATATTTATGCAATTTGTGTAATTGACAATATACTCAACTCACAACTGCTTCTTTGGTAAGTAATTTTATTTTATGTAACTACCTACAATTTTTTAATTTGATGATATCTACGTATATTCAAATGAGTAATACTATTTATTGGAGTTGGACAACTATTAATTTTTACAATTTTATAATAAATAATTACCACGATCTCGATTAATACAAAGCTACTCTTCCTACCTTCTATTTATATGAATATTAAGTTTTTATTAAACTCGTTAAGTAAATATCTAATTGAATACC